TGGAGACGATAGGAACAATGGCACAACTGGCAGTCTGGGCTGCTGCACGTGACAGCTGACAGGTTGCACAAGCGCAATCACATGCTAGATCCCAGGCTGATCAGTCCAAAGCAGGGGTTCCCCTGACAAAAGCATAGGAACACCACAATCGGGCACAACTCCAAGTTGATGTAAGGGCAACTCCTGCCAGCCCGAAGGAAGAGAGCACACAGCACACAACAACCTCACATGAGTCTGAGCACAGAGGGGGATCCTTAGAGACTATCAAATACAAGGGAGGTATACTACTCACCTGAGCACAGAGGGGGATCCTTAGAGAACGGTTCAAGGATCCATGTGCCCAGGTGTCACACTATATAGTCAGCTGTGACAAGTGACTGATGATGATGGGAGATCACTGCCATGGAACAATGGCAGATGATGAGTAGATGATGACAAACCCAGATAAGATAGTGAGTGGCTCAGAGGGGCCAGTGATGGCCAGCTCCTGAGACACCAACAGTGGAAGGCCACACTGGAGGAGCCCAGTGGCCAGGCCAGTGCCGGGCCGGCCAGTGGAGGCATCGGAGGCGAGGACCAATGCCCGACTAGGAAGAGGGGTGGTACGGATGAGCGCAAGGCATCTGGTACAAGCCTGTACGGCAGTAGGAGGAGTGCGTACGGCAGTAGCACTCCCTGGTGCAAGGAATCGGGCTTGGCTAGACCGCTTGCGGGGATTCGAGGGAGATGGCCAGGGGAAGAAGGGAGAGGGCGGATGTCGGCATGGATGGAGGTGAGGATCGGAGGAGGAGGAGGAGGCTGGGTGATCGACAGGTGAGCAGGCACGGGTCGGCAGAGAGGGCGCAGCGGGTCACGTGCATGGTCACGTGCCCAAGGAGCGCGGTGTCCCCTGACATTGCCAACAGTGTCACAAACTCCCTCTGCGAGTCCCAGGCCCCCTGAATGACAACTTTTGTTGCTATCAGAGACGATATACCCTTTGATGCAAACATATGGATTGGGCAGAAAGGAAGTGACGACTCATGGCACAACAACCCGACAAACATGTTAGAGCAAAGGGGGAGGTCAAATAGGGTGCAAAAATGTCAGAAATGTTGCCGGAGCTCAAATTTTTCAATTTCAGAGGCATCTATATAGCAAAAAAAAATGGATTTTTTGAGGTCATGTACAGATTGGACAAACCTCGGGGCTCAGGACCAATCAACGTTGGACAGATTTTGGGCCAGCCAATTTTGGGGCTAAACTGTGAGGCTTTTCTCAGTGGTCCTATGTGCATGGTGACTTCTAAGTTACATTTAGAAATTTTTTGGTGGGGAGGGGTCGAAAATGTAAGCCCAAATTATTTAATTGGGTGTTGGACAAAAAGTTGCAGCTCGATTTGGCGATGCTCAGGGCACCGAGTTGGACAAGAATTCACCCCAGTCCGGTCTGGTCTCACCCCAATTTACCCCAAATATATGATTTATCGCTGATCAGTACTTCAATCGAGACACTGATCCATTTCCGGACAATATTGAGAGTAGTTCATGTGAATTCACTCGAAAACCATTCACAGATTGCCGCTGAGTCCCATGAATTTTACACCCTAGTCCACTGGTCTCCAAACGTTACAATTCACTCACCTCCCTCTGATTGCATTGGACAGATATGTCAAATCCTGTGACCTAATTATTCTTGTCCAGAGTCGAGTTTTGGCCAACCCCCTACAATTTGGGCTTAGGTTATCGACTTTCCCTGACCAAAGATTGTCCAACTGGGGGCTAACATTTGAGGCTATTTTCACAGGTCCTGTGCGCATCTCCGACAGGGCTCAGCTACTCATGTAATAATATGTACATACATAAAGTCTAGGGTCTTGGATCCTATCACTTGCCATCAATGTCAACTGTCTATGTTGAGAGCAGGGCCTTCCAGGCCCCCATAAACGACCGAGAACTATCCTGTCAGGTGGCTGATGTTAGGTACACTTATGGCCTCGAATCTGAATCCCTGTGATCTAGCGTGTGAAGAGACTTGGATTAGCAACTGCAACAAGCAGGGGACCTATGAGAGCCTGCGCAAAGACCACACGTGACAAGGAATAATGTATTTGCGCCTGAACAACACCTCTCTGATAATAATGCGTGACATAGTATAGACAAAATAGCATTAAATAGACATCAGCCTGCGACTCCCTCAGGCGGCGAGAGACGTGATCGACGCCGGCAGCGCATTGTACGTCGGGCACAGCTGGTTCCACTCCGAAGTCGGGATCAGCTCCGACTGCCAGTCGGCCACATCCTCGGCCATCACGACCGCGAACCCGGCTTCCAAGTGCCAGTCGATGTGGCAGTGGAGGAACCACGCTGGTGAGATCAATCAACAATCAGAACGGTCTCGAACGTGTCACACAACGGCACACTCACGTCCGCGGTTGTCCGTGAAGAACCGAATCGTGACGTTGTCGCCCGTGGTTCCGATGTTCACCACGTCGCGGCGGGCTGGGTTGACGTAGTTGTAGGTGCTGCTGCCGGCGGAACGGATGACCTCGAAGGTGTGTCCGTGCAAATGGAACGGGTGCTGTTCGAGGACGGATTGAGTGAGCTCAGAGACCACACGGATAAAGGAGCAAGGACTGACGCCACCACCGATCACACCTCCTGCGAGCGTGATTTCGACAGACGCAAAGTGCGGGAGCGAGTACACCGAGCCGTTGGGCAGCAGCGACTGCGCGGTCTGTGCACCGGACAGGATCTGGAGCAGGACGGGAACCGTGGGGGGAACGAACGCGTCGCCGTTGATCGTGAACTTGAACGTCGTCTGAGAAAGAAAGGATGAGCGACAGACCCTGAGGAGAGACAAGACCGGTCGATGGACGCACGAGATCAAACGCCAGAGCCATGTTGAGCTGCACGTCGGCTCCGCCGCTGAACGCGCCGCCGGAAGTGCCAGGGTTCACAAGCGGGTGCAGGTTCACTTCGTTGACCAGCCCGTTGGTGGACGTGTCTTGGGACGTGGTCGGCTCCGAGGCGTTGGCTCCTTTGTCTGGAAGAAGGAAGGGATGGTCAGGAATCGCAGATAGCTATCTTTTGATAGATCCTAACGCACAGCGGAGGATCGCAGAGTTGATGCCGCCGGTGAAGCCAGTCGGACCGGTGTTCGGGTTGGCGCGGATCCAGTAGTTGTCGACCGCTTGGTCGGCAGTCATGATGAACGAGTACCGTTGGGCTGGAAGAACCAAGTCAGTGGGTGTTTGCCGCGGCGGACGACCGCACGGAGGCTCGCGCTCGCGGCTGCTCACCGGCGTAGATCTGGATCGAGTCGACGCTCAACGGCTCGTGCAGGACACCGTCGGCCTCGATGATGGTCAGGTTCGTGTGGCCGTCGATCTGGAACACGTAGTTGGAGTCGCAGCCGATGTTGACCAGGCGGAACCGGTAGCGCAAGCCTTGGGTGACGTTGATCACGGCCAGCGTCGTGTTCGCGGTGGTCGCCGCGGTACGTCCGAGACCGTTGATGAGCATCGAAGAGGGCGTGCTGCGCAGGTTGAACGCATCAGAGACAGACTGATCGCATCCTTCAGAGCAGCTACCACTCACGCAACACCGGCCACGGTCTCAGCAAAGACGTTGTACCAGTCGGCGAGAGTGATGACGGTCGACTCGTCGTCGACGTCGTACTCGGAGATGTAGGCGTCGGCCGGGTCGTAGATGACCATCGCGCCACGCAGACCGTCGCAGTACTGGGTGGCGAGATGAGAGTGATACCAGAACGTTCTGTTCGATTTTCATTGAGAGCTGCGTTTGCTAGTTCAGAGAATTGCACGTACCCTGATTGCGTGCTGGTAAAGTCGTATGTGAACGAGTTTCCGGGGGAGATCGGGCACTGGTTGATGAACGCAGGTCCGTCCATGAAGTTGGTTCCGTTCTGGAACAGTCCATGCCAGTGCTGCGAAGGAGGGAGGAGAAACGGAAACCAATCAGGGATGCCCAACAAGGCGAGCGTTGGCTGAGGCTCACAATCGACGTCGGCTCGAGCATGCGGTTGTCCTGCTGCTGGTCGACGACCGTCAGCTGGAAGTTGTCGCCGATGTTTCCGGTGACGAGCGTTCCAGGGAACGTGCCTCCGGCCAGGACGGCTGCGCGGGGCAGACCGTCGGGCGAGATCGTTGCGTTGGCCACCACCAGGGAGCCAACTGGCCCAACCGTCGCGGCGGAGACGATCCGCGCTGCCGCAGCGAGAGCAAGGAGGGTGCGGGACGAGGACGAGGAGAACATGAGTGCGATCGGGTCTGTGAGCCAAGGAGATCCTGGTACTACCGGTGCCGTGCTTTCCAGCTGAGTGGCCTGAGTTCATTTATACGCTTTCAGCGGAGAGAGACGATCAATGTTAATCATCCACACGGTTTCCCAATCGGGAAACCCACGCGCACCTTGTCAGTCCGAATTCGGGTTGGGCGCCCGGACGGAGTTGAGTGGCTGGACGACAATGACTAAGAGGCTTGTCGCAGAGACGACCCAGGAACCTGCGAGCTGCCGGAGGGAGGAACATTCTCCCGTAACAGACTTGTGATGCGATTTGACCATCAAAGCACGGAACGTCGCAGACGTTACCAAACCTGCGCCTTGATTGGGATTGGACAGCGTTCGGGACCGAGCTTACAGCCGCCGTCGGGCCGGGTGTTCACTCTGCCGTTTCACTGTTGGACTGGGACTGCTGCGGCTCTGCCTCACGATTTCCGAGACCACATCTGTTCTCCATCACCCACCAGATTTCTGTTCGAAGCAGCAGCAACGCATATGCGGTGGAATTCCATCTCCTCGTCGAGATGGCAGACAACTCCTTGCCGTATTTGCCCGCTGCCGCTTGCCACCTCTTGCGCAGCTTTTCTTGGATTACGACTCGGTATCAGTCAACGCAGACATTGTCGATCGCACACGTCCTCGAAATCTTTATCCGCCATCGCCTGGAAGTATTCAACCGGGTGAGCTACCAGAACTGGTCGAACTCGCACATGGGATCTCGAGTGTGCCTCTCCCAGTGCAGTGGAACCGGCCAGTCAGCAGCGCTGTCAGTTTCCGTCACCGTAAGACGCCGGTCGCTCCTGGGAAATAAACATATTTGACTCAGCGCCAGTTCTGCTGTCCGATCGAAATGACAGGCGATCAGATCTGATGTCTGCCACGAGGTATTTTCGACGGAGATCTTCTTTCCCGGACGATTGCCATCGGACGGAATCCGGGGAAGCCGACGATCGCGTTCCTCATGGTTCCTAAACCGGATACGGCCGGAGGTCGCTGAAGTAGCTCGGTACAGGGATCTACAACAGAAGCTGATCAGAGACATGTGCACCGTCCACCAATTCGACGATTTTCGTCATTGCGCGCGGACGTGTTAGGATGGAAACTGAGAGACAGGACGGATCAGAAGAAGTTGAGCGCAATGGTTGGCGGATTTGTTGCCGCGGCCAAGGCTCATCGCTGAACGACATGCCACAGCGAGTCTCAAGGGCAACCATATCGCATCGGCGCTGTTATGATACTCTAAGCAGCGCTCACACCGCGGAGAGTTCGGGCCAGACTTGTCCCATCGCGTGGTTCAGGACTTGTAACGGAGTTCCTCCGGTGTTTCACTGCGTAAGTGACGGCGACGTAAGCATCTACTGGCGGAGGTTCTGCCCTCACGCAATCGGTGTGAAGCTATGTCGTCTCGAGTGGGTAGGACTCCGGTCTCGGTCGGATCGCGATACACGAATGTTTCAGTGGGTGTTTGTGAAACAGCGAGGGTTTAGTGCCCTTTTGCTCCGATTCCATTCTCATAGCATAGATAAGGTTTCATTCCGCGATGACACTGAATTCAGTTACCGTGCGCGAGCCGGGTACAGACCTACGTTACGCTATCTTATCTTGGAAGAACTCATCATGATCAGTCGACTGTCACGAATGATCATCCAAGTCTCTATTGCTTGGACTGTCAGACTCCGTCGGCGCTAGAGTGTGAAAGAAGGGCGTCCTCATTCACTCCTTCATCCTGTCTGGTACGATACTGGATGCTATGCAGCGGCCCACAGTTGACCCCAGTCATCTGGCATGAACAGAGAAGTCCGCAGCATCAGAAGCTTTCACATGATCTTGGCTGACCATGGCTTCTCGCCGCTCAGAACGAGGGGGGAAATCAGGTGTCAAGGCGTGCATGGATGCCGCAGCAAAGAACTAGATTTCATGTCGATACCGTTGATGTAGTGAACAAACGATACGCATTCGTACGACAGAGGGATCTAGCGATTCACGCTCCTCCAACCGGCGCCCTTTGTCCAGAGTCACACGATCTGGTTACTCCGCTTTCCATCGGTCTCAATGATGGAACTGGCTCCGAAAACTACGACACTAGATATCGACTATCCCGCAGTCAAGCGGCCCACGTTACAGGCGGAAATCGGAACTGAATAGCAAACATAACCGCCAAGATCAAAGTCAAACCGCCACTGATGCCGGCGGGAGAATCGTTCATGTCGAGTTCTATGGCCTAAGGGATATCGATGTAGCAAGTGGATAGACTCGCAGGTCAGATCAGGACCTGCGCACAGCCACATAAAGCTGATGAAACCTGATACTGGATTATAAATACACAATAATTAGTATACAGTCATTACAAGAGACGTGGGTACTTGGGAAATCGGGGGATGCACCACTCTGAGGAAGCGGCGCTGGCTATGGCTACATGATATACGGCAGAGCAGAAACCAGAAATCAGGGTCAAGATTATAAAAACAAGCAGGAGGAAGAACCCATGGACATCTGAGCAGATGGATCGTCGTGCGACTACTCGAACTCGTTTGCGTAGCTCGCTGCATATGCCATATCGACCGGTTTCGCAATCAACATTCCGATGTCGATCGACGGCCGCGCAGCGAAATGCAGTTCTCCTGAATCAGACGCAAACTCGAACGGGGGGTAATGCACCGGCTCAGGCGCAGGAGTAGGAGCAGCAGACTCTGGGTACTGCAGTTGCGGAGACAGCGATGAGGTCTGAGCAACTGGCGTCGGGGTCGAAGATTCCATGACAACAGGGCCTTGGACATCGTACACTTCAGGCGCGGGCGGCTCCGAGTACTGAGGCGCGGGCGGGTGGAATTCGACCGAGTTCAGCGGGGAGACAGGGTTCATCGGCTGGGGTGCGTGCAGCACGGACGCCTGTTGTACTTCGAAGTTCGCCATCGCCAGCTCGGAAACCGGCGCTCCACCAAAGGTGTTCAGGAAACCCGGGTGGAAAAGCGACGTGTCCGCATCCGGAAGCTCCTCCGGCAGCTGCTGCTCATACTCTGCAGCGTCGCTGCCGCAAGTGTTGAACTTGAACGACGTCGGGGAGAAGAACGCCTGCGCACTGCTTGCCCGGCGGCCGATCGGATCAAAAGTGTTCGCAGCGTAACCGGTTCCACCAGCAGCATACCACGTCGACGAATACGAGTTGCGGAACCCGAAGCTGAAGCTCGGTCGCATGTAACCAGTCGACCCCATCGAACCCCACGATAACGACATCCGCTGTGAACCCGCGCTGATGCCGATCGCAGCACCCGACAACGAATCTTCCGCAGCGGTCGGCGGCGGGGGCAGCATCCACGAACCGACGTTGGTGTGGTCGATGGGGAAATGAATGGGAGGAAGCGTCAGCGCATTGGAATTGACGCTCATGGTCGCTTCATCGTGTCCGTAAAATGGTCCATAGTGGCATTCGGTCGGCAGCGGTACACTAGAGCTCCGACGGTGTCTCCAACGATCAGAGGAATCGAGCTGCTGCTGCTGCTGGTACAGGGGCATAGGCAGCGGCATCTGATACGGAGATCCCGCGGTCAACGTCGAAGACGGTGGGGAGCTCACATCCCGGGAGAGATAAAAAGCGCCAGGATCCAAGTTGAGCGGGTGCGGATACTTGGGCATCGACATCGGCACATCCGTACCATATCCATCGGGAATGTTGGGGTTGTACAAAAGTTCGGGACCAGGAGACGGCGAGTCTGTGAACGCCCGGTCGGTGGCAGTCTCGCTCTTGGACAGCGCGTATTCGGCGCGTCGGCGCACATCGAGTTCATTCACCGCGTCAGTGAGCTCGTCGCCTTTCTTCCCCTGCAGCAACAGCGATGCGATATCCTCCGATCGCTTCTCCTCCATCTCGTGCTTGATCGTCCGCGCGGCGTTGTAATCGCTGTTGGAGTACGAGCCGATGGGCGCGCGCGCTTTGCCGTGGACGGGTCGGAACTTGTAGTCGGGGTACATGATCTTGTGTTCCGCCTTGGCGTCCTTCGCCTTCTTCTCCCATGTGGCCTTCTCGCGCAGAGACAGCGAGCGCCAGACGGTGCCTGATGACAGAGAGAACGGTCAGCCATCGTCAATCACAGACACTGCGAGGACGCTCATACCGATGATCTTGCTGAGACTGCTGTGCGTGGCTTCTAGGCTGCCAGGGATATGCCTCGATCTCACAAAGTTCGCACGGAACAGCATGAATGCGTTGGGTGGGCGAGGAATGTACCCCAGACTGCGCCTCTTGCCAGGTGCAACCCGTTTCCTCCTTGGTGCCGGCGCAGGCTGATTGCTCGGCGGGAACAGCGGGGCAGTGACGTCCGTGTCCCCTGGGCGTGGCAGATCGTCGCACGAGGGATCATCGGGGGACGGGGCGTTGTACGTAATCGGCGTCACATTGGGCGCGAAGGTCACCGTCGCCTGGTTGGAGGGTGTCAAGGATGAAGACGAAGCACTGGCCGCGTCGGGGAGGATAGTAGATGGGGCGGTGGGAGCAGCATAACCGTACGTCCCGGGTTTGGCGACGACTATCATGTTGTGGTTAGCCTACAGAAGGACCGAGTAGCAGATGAGAGAGCGGGAGGGCGGAGATGACGGCGATGGGAAGGGCGCGAAAGACGGCAAAAAGAATAACCGAGACACGTACGCGGCGCGATTGAACTCCTCCTCCTCCCATAACCTCCACTGGTCCGGCGAGAAGCTGAGCGAAGGGCAGGCATAGCGCTCCTGGATGATTGAGAATCGACTGGGGCGTGGTGGAAGAGGGATCCCAAACGAGCGAACAATGGGGGCACGTTATCCTTTTCTATTGTTCGCCCTTATAAGGACAGGTGAAGCATCGGATGTTCCAAAGCTCGAAGCGAAGGGGAAAGGGTGGCCGCAAGGCAGGGACCCCGGGCACCAGCGCCCATCATCAGCGACATCATTCAGAAACATAGCATGTACAGAGCGGCATTGTGCTTTGTGAGCAGAGTAAAAGACATTCCTCGTACGCTCCGACAACTTCTCATACTCTGGAACCCACAGCACAGTCGTCTCCTTGACGCCCTGCAGAGCGAACCTCACCTGGACCCCAGCACGTGTTAGGTTCCACGGAATCTGATTTCTGACGCATAACCGCATTTGGACGTTTCTTTATTGCCAACGCAGTCCTTATCGGGATGTCCCCTTGTTCCCGCCCACGCGAGTCCAAGAGCTTGACACGCGGAGTGCAGAAGTGAAAAGTAAAATCCTCCCAGCTCGTCGTCGCTGCACCCAACGGTGCCGCAGAACGGTCGTACCCTACCAATCAACCGGCGTCAGGCTATGGATCTGGCACCCGTCGTCCCCTGGGACGCGGGTTAACAGACTGTCAAGCGTCCGGGAGTGATCAATTTCTCAGCCTTCCTCACCTCACGTGTCAAGAGACGTTTTTGGCTCCCGCCCTTGTTCCCGAAACTCACCAGTCCTTGTACTTTCCTTGCCACATGCGCCCTTTGCCGCTGCCCTCAAGATAATGATCGAGTTACATGGTCCTCAGCCATGTTCACTCTGACGACACTCTCGGCTCCCCCTCCTTGTGTTCTCCTGTTCTCAGGCGAGCTTCACTTTCCTGCCAGACGTCAGTTCGCAAGGGGCATGGACATGGCGTTTCCGGGAGCATCTCCTTTCAGTCTGATGCGTTCATAAGAAAGATCTGTTGATCTGGGCCTTGTGGTTATTGATCTCCAGTGGCAGCCACTTCTAGACCTCCTGGCCTCCGGTGAGTGTGGGAATCATCCTGGGAGGACAATTCACCTGTCTGCGCGTATCAGCTGAGATCTTCGACCGCCAGCTCGACCGAAAACTGGGAGAAATGTAGCAGCCTTGAGATATCGCGGCGATCCGCTGTGCACAAAGCAAGAGGAATCGTCCAGAGTGAGATCGTCGAGGGAAGCTGGACATCGTTGTCTTCAAGGCTGTTTATAAGCCGTCTTGAATACAAAAGCCCGAAAACAAGGGCCGCAGTACAAGGAGCAACTGGAGCAAAGTACAATAGACTTGGACCGTGATTTGATGGCACGAGGACGACGTTGTGCTCGAACAGGAGTCTTGCCGTGAGTTTGACGCAGCCTGTAATCTAATACGAGGCGGCCTTGTCTGCCTCGTTCGACCCTGACCGATGTGTGTTGGTCGGCGTTGTTGAAAGCTCAAACTCCCAGCAGCGGGTGCATTCGTTCGGCGCGTGTGTGTCTCTCATGTGACAGTATTTGTCCGATCCGCGTCGTGTTAATGCAAACCCCGCAGACCGAGAGAAGGATTCCGGAGCACTGAGATAAAGTCATCCTTGTTTCCGACTCCGACTCCAGCATTGATAGAGGAGCGCAAGCCGGGTGAATGGATTCGAAACTCGTGCGTGATGCACTGCCTGTAGCCAGAAATCACCCGAGGAACTATCCCAAATCGAGAGGAGAGCGCTCGAGCTCGTTCTGGATGGGAGAATGACTTGATTCTGGGGGATTTATGAGACAATATGACGGACTGCTGCTCTGCGAGGTCGGGCAATGAAATAGGATCGTTGATCTTAGACTGGGCTTGCGGTTATCGATCTTGAGAGGCGGCAATTCAAAACTTCCTGACCTCCGGGGAGTGGGAAACCATCCGGGAAAGACAAAGCACCTGTCTGCGCACATCAGCTGGAATCGTCGGCCGCTAGCTCGTGCGACTACTGAGAGACGTTACGGAAGAAGCTTCAGGTACTGCGGCAATCGCTTACGCACGAAGAAGGAGGATCGGACCAAGGAAAGATCAAGAAGGTGAGCTGAGCATCGTGGCCCGCAAGCCCGTTGACAGGCCTTCTTGAACACGAAAAGCGAGAACAACGGTCTGCACAACGCAGTGCAACATACACAATGAACTATGGGTCTGCCACATGATTTGATTGGGCGGGGTTGACATTATAGTCGAAGAGGAGTCTTGCCGAGATCTTGCAGCTTCTTATGATCCAATATTAAGCGGCCTTGACTCCCACATTTTTCTGGGCGCTGAGATGTAGGTCTGCATTAATTCAAGCTCGGTGAATGCATTAGAAACGTGCGTGATGCATTTCATGTAGCCAGATTTCAGTCAGTGTACCCTCCCAAACCGAGAGGAAAGCGCTCGAGTCGTTTCATGAGCTCAGTGTAATATGAATGTGGTCCGTTGACTCGAACATTAGGATGTTCTTGAACCAGGCCATGCTGATATCAGGCTTCGACCCACCCATTTGCCGACGCGATCACGCAGGGAAGGCTCAGCTCGTCCCGGATTTCCTTCCTCGGATTCCAAGTCCACATCGCCGAGAACACGAGGGCCATGAGAGGCGGATCGTTGGTCGTGGCTGCGATGTTGAACTCGATACTGGCAGAGGAGAAGCTGGGTGTCGAATACACTGAGACGAGTGGCCCGGTCTCGGGCCACTGAAGAGTGACAGCGGCAATTTTGCTGAGCGAGCGAGCAGTGTTCTGCATATGTTTTTGCGTAGCTTGTGTGTGAAAAGCGGAGCTCTTCGGCCTGGCGCTGAGTCCGGATGGGCCGAGTTTTGCTATACCAAGCGCACCGGCACGAGCACGAATACCTTCGCTTCAGGCACAACAGGAGCGCGGACAGCAACGCCGAACGTGGACCAGCATGATGCAGATCGACACACCGAGTCTGTCCGCCAGGAGCCTTTTGAGATCTCAACGCTTCTGTACTCACGATTGGATTATTCCAAGTACTGCAAACTTGCCATACGTAGATTCCTTCTCCTGAGAGACTCTACGGGTGAAGACTGAGCTGAGGAATGTTCCCACATCGCCGAGCACATCATCAACGAGTGATTCTGGGATGCAACGGAGCAGAACGGTGGATCATTGACAGCCATCGTGTCACCGCACACCGCCGCCGGTTCTACGTTCAGTCAGCGGGTTTGACGGGGTAGCGGCTGTGCTGTGTATTAGCCGCAGTTCGTCATCGGTTTTGACATACCGCATGTGATCGATCGATCGACCGATTGTTAACAATCAGATCGGGCGTAGCGAGAATGGCGGTTCCTACCAGCAACCGACGGGGATGCGGCTGAAGCAGCTCATTGCTGGGATCTACAACAGAAGCTGATCCAGCGCATGTGCAAGTCTCAGAACTTCAACGGTTTCCGCCGCGGCTTGCAGACTCAACGGATTACCCAAACGAGAGGAGACGCGGAGACGACACGGATCCGAGGTCAACGCTGGGGCAGGGCGCGTTTTGAGCTGACCCCAGGACAACTTTGGGAATGAGTCCAGCTTGAAGGCCGGTCTTCATCCGTCGAAAGTGAGTTCTCGGTTCCGATTCGGATCGCCGATCCGAGATGTTGAGAGGGCGTGACGAGTGTCCGACGGCGAGAGTTTGGATCGCCGGCTGAACGCTGTTGATGCACGGTTCGGCTATCAGGCCATGGGACAGCCGCTGCTATTGCGTCAGTGCCGGCGAAACCAGCCCAATCCATGTTCACTAGTGGGTTCTCTCCGTCTCGCCTCTCGGATCGACTCGCAGCTTTGACCTCGAGCCGGGTCTGGGTGAATGACTCGGAAGCCAAGAGAGAAGGTTTCTTGATGCGATACACGGGTGAAAAAAAAGCGCAGGTGTTTGCGCAGTAACAGCTTCGGGCTGTCTGGGCGCGTTGGAATCGCATCACAAGTCTGTTACGGGAGAATGTTCCTCCCTCCGGCAGCTCGCAGGTTCCTGGGTCGTCTCTGCGACAAGCCTCTTAGTCATTGTCGTCCAGCCACTCAACTCCGTCCGGGCGCCCAACCCGAATTCGGACTGACAAGGTGCGCGTGGGTTTCCCGATTGGGAAACCGTGTGGATGATTAACATTGATCGTCTCTCTCCGCTGAAAGCGTATAAATGAACTCAGGCCACTCAGCTGGAAAGCACGGCACCGGTAGTACCAGGATCTCCTTGGCTCACAGACCCGATCGCACTCATGTTCTCCTCGTCCTCGTCCCGCACCCTCCTTGCTCTCGCTGCGGCAGCGCGGATCGTCTCCGCCGCGACGGTTGGGCCAGTTGGCTCCCTGGTGGTGGCCAACGCAACGATCTCGCCCGACGGTCTGCCCCGCGCAGCCGTCCTGGCCGGAGGCACGTTCCCTGGAACGCTCGTCACCGGAAACATCGGCGACAACTTCCAGCTGACGGTCGTCGACCAGCAGCAGGACAACCGCATGCTCGAGCCGACGTCGATTGTGAGCCTCAGCCAACGCTCGCCTTGTTGGGCATCCCTGATTGGTTTCCGTTTCTCCTCCCTCCTTCGCAGCACTGGCATGGACTGTTCCAGAACGGAACCAACTTCATGGACGGACCTGCGTTCATCAACCAGTGCCCGATCTCCCCCGGAAACTCGTTCACATACGACTTTACCAGCACGCAATCAGGGTACGTGCAATTCTCTGAACTAGCAAACGCAGCTCTCAATGAAAATCGAACAGAACGTTCTGGTATCACTCTCATCTCGCCACCCAGTACTGCGACGGTCTGCGTGGCGCGATGGTCATCTACGACCCGGCCGACGCCTACATCTCCGAGTACGACGTCGACGACGAGTCGACCGTCATCACTCTCGCCGACTGGTACAACGTCTTTGCTGAGACCGTGGCCGGTGTTGCGTGAGTGGTAGCTGCTCTGAAGGATGCGATCAGTCTGTCTCTGATGCGTTCAACCTGCGCAGCACGCCCTCTTCGATGCTCATCAACGGTCTCGGACGTACCGCGGCGACCACCGCGAACACGACGCTGGCCGTGATCAACGTCACCCAAGGCTTGCGCTACCGGTTCCGCCTGGTCAACATCGGCTGCGACTCCAACTACGTGTTCCAGATCGACGGCCACACGAACCTGACCATCATCGAGGCCGACGGTGTCCTGCACGAGCCGTTGAGCGTCGACTCGATCCAGATCTACGCCGGTGAGCAGCCGCGAGCGCGAGCCTCCGTGCGGTCGTCCGCCGCGGCAAACACCCACTGACTTGGTTCTTCCAGCCCAACGGTACTCGTTCATCATGACTGCCGACCAAGCGGTCGACAACTACTGGATCCGCGCCAACCCGAACACCGGTCCGACTGGCTTCACCGGCGGCATCAACTCTGCGATCCTCCGCTGTGCGTTAGGATCTATCAAAAGATAGCTATCTGCGATTCCTGACCATCCCTTCCTTCTTCCAGACAAAGGAGCCAACGCCTCGGAGCCGACCACGTCCCAAGACACGTCCACCAACGGGCTGGTCAACGAAGTGAACCTGCACCCGCTTGTGAACCCTGGCACTTCCGGCGGCGCGTTCAGCGGCGGAGCCGACGTGCAGCTCAACATGGCTCTGGCGTTTGATCTCGTGCGTCCATCGACCGGTCTTGTCTCTCCTCAGGGTCTGTCGCTCATCCTTTCTTTCTCAGACGACGTTCAAGTTCACGATCAACGGCGACGCGTTCGTTCCCCCCACGGTTCCCGTCCTGCTCCAGATCCTGTCCGGTGCACAGACCGCGCAGTCGCTGCTGCCCAACGGCTCGGTGTACTCGCTCCCGCACTTTGCGTCTGTCGAAATCACGCTCGCAGGAGGTGTGATCGGTGGTGGCGTCAGTCCTTGCTCCTTTATCCGTGTGGTCTCTGAGCTCACTCAATCCGTCCTCGAACAGCACCCGTTCCATTTGCACGGACACACCTTCGAGGTCATCCGTTCCGCCGGCAGCAGCACCTACAACTACGTCAACCCAGCCCGCCGCGACGTGGTGAACATCGGAACCACGGGCGACAACGTCACGATTCGGTTCTTCACGGACAACCGCGGACGTGAGTGTGCCGTTGTGTGACACGTTCGAGACCGTTCTGATTGTTGATTGATCTCACCAGCGTGGTTCCTCCACTGCCACATCGACTGGCACTTGGAAGCCGGGTTCGCGGTCGTGATGGCCGAGGATGTGGCCGACTGGCAGTCGGAGCTGATCCCGACTTCGGAGTGGAACCAGCTGTGCCCGACGTACAATGCGCTGCCGGCGTCGATCACGTCTCTCGCCGCCTGAGGGAGTCGCAGGCTGATGTCTATTTAATGCTATTTTGTCTATACTATGTCACGCATTATTATCAGAGAGGTGTTGTTCAGGCGCAAATACATTATTCCTTGTCACGTGTGGTCTTTGCGCAGGCTCTGTTACATCCTCGATTTTCACACACATCACGGTCATGAAAACCTCCACTCGTGTTCTTCTGCCTCTAACGGCCAACGCGATCGAACTCTTCTCATTCACCTATTGGGCCTCACGTGGTCCCTGAGCAATATTCGGTTTTGGACCCCTCCCCGCATCACTCCTACCCCGTTACACCTTAAACTTTTGTGAGCAACAGAAAATCTTTTCCATTGACGACCAGCGTTGCAACAAGTCGAACATGACCCCACGTGTTATGTGACAGCTGACAGTGATCTGAAAGTCCGCCACGCAGCCATGTCCAAACATGGCACGCACCCCTCTGCTTGGACGAGTTCGACACGTTCCTGGTCCCTGACCTTCCCCGTCCTCGTTCTGGTTCATTCAATGGCCCACACAATCTCCATGCTCCCAATACCCCCATTCACCACGACTGCAGCCGCCTCTCCCCTTGAAAACTAACATCCTTCGAACCCGCTCCACGCTGCCGGCCAATCGCCATCTACGACACCTGGTCGGTCGCGCTTTCCCAAACCTGCCACCGACTGGACTCCGCACTGCTTTCCTCACGTCCACTGCGCCCGCTGATCTCTTGCCATCGCTGTCTCGCGCCGAGACCTACGATTCTTATGCACACTGCCAACGTAGAAGCCGCTCCTTAGACTGAGAATGGAATCCAGGCCTCCAAAACAGCAGATGGTCCGGATATGCAGCTCTGGAACGCCTAGCATTACCTTCATGCAGCCGATATCATCGCTGCCCTATCATGTGCGAGCACTCGGAAGATGGAAAAACAGCCTCTGATGCACTGGGTCGATTCGAAAGCGTTACTCCAGACCGCTGAGGTGGAGCAGCCGACTCACCGTCGACACACTGTCACACAGCGAGTATGGATGGATGCTGTGGAGCAGGTGCTCGGCATCGCCCTGTCGCTCTTGCGCACGACGGCTTTCTCCCAGGATCCTGCTACGGATTGCACCTGTGGTAAGAGGGGTACCTCCCAGTCACATGCGAGACAGAACTCATCGTGTGGTAGGTGCAACCAAGGCTTCCACGTCTCGGACCGTGTTTCAATAGGTCTTATGCGTGAGCTGTTGGCTCTCTTCCTCCTTCCTGCAGCTGACCAGCGAGCCCAGGCACCGTGGGCACCGTTGGCACCGTCGTCCACTCGCTCTCTTTCCTCTCGAACGTCGCGGGCACAGTTTTCTTGCGAAGGGGGAGGTGAAGCCACCATGTCGCGTTCGACTGCTGGCCGATGCACACCGCCTATGTCGGGTAATCTGCATCGACAAGGCATCGCCAGGAGCATTCTCAGCCATGCGAATGAGCGAGGTCATCCATACCGGCTTTCGCTGCGCATTCTCCCTCGTCATCATTTGCGGATCTATTCGTAGCCGGTCTCAGCAAGATCACGACATTCCAGCTGAGTGACCAGCTAGCTCATCGAGCGAGCGTGGACATACGCTCTACAGGCTCCAGCCATCTCCTGGACTGAGCCCAGTCTGACCGATACATTGATCTGAACTATCCTCCCGACCCCAGCTCGTTACCGCCCCGCATGATGCTTCATCACCCGAAGATGGGATATGTGTACAAATGACCGAGCTGTGCACTACGAGGTCAGCGGCCGGGTATGACGCATCAACGCCTGAGGTTCGGGGATGGGAACACTGAGTGTAGACAACGATGGTTCAGTTGCTTGGGCGTCAATCAGAGCGCTGGAGGATGTCTGCGGAAAGTTGGGATGGCTAGGGGTATCGCGAATAGACCTGGTCAGGAGGGTGAACGGTAGGATCGTCTGTGGATAGAGGCAAATATAAGGACAGCATGAGAGTTTCAAAGAGAATGAGGTGAATCATCGGGAAGAGCGATTGGCTTACCTGGGAGTTGAAATGGCAGTTTGATTGTCGGTCTGAATTCCGACGCTCATATGAATCAAATGGTATCACTTGAATCATCGCTAGAAAGACCAGTTCGCGACCCATGACATAAGATTCAAACGATCTAGTAAGATTCTTGCAGAAGTGGCCGGTCATATGACCTCAGCGATCATCTGCTCGGGCCGGGCTGAGGCTTAACCGTTGTCTGCGAGAAACCGCCACCTGCCAGTGCGCCTGATCATTCAAGTTACAGCACAACCTCCTCTTACGACTGGACATCTTCCTATCTCGTTTCCAATCAAATGATGACGTGCACATGCTTGCTGGGTGATGTCCATGATGGCACAGTGCTCTTTATACACATCTATCTTTGTTCGCTGACGCATCCAAGAAAGCTGTTCTCAATTCAACGTTGTTAGGGCTTGAGTTCGCCCCGTCTACTTACATACCCCGAGATATGTAAACTATCAAACTAGGGATCGGGACTGGACGCCTTTATCGCACGACTCTATCTGCTAATGGCTGTTGTCGTCCCTGATTCCGGCAGACAAGACACTGAAATATCGAGCACTGGTGCTTGCCCTAGCGTGAATCACTTTCTCTCTCTCCAGCACTTATAAATCTCCGTGTTTCTCGCTTGGATCGGACGAAGATTCCCAATCAACAGAGATCGAAGCTGCAAGGCGGATCCAAAGACTGTTTGTGATCCACTGGCAACGGGCTGTGCGTGATCCCAGTGCAATGCCCGTCCATGTTCGGAAAAATCTAGTTAGGACTCATTCACACTTCTGCTTAGCGATCAATCATCTAATGGTTTGGAACAGTCAATGCTTTACAGATGAGACCGGGACATCACGGATCTTGACACTTGACGCAGAAGGTGAGAACATCGACCGACCTTCTACATCCAGCTGCTTTGTTCCCTTTTGCTATCTCTAGACCCCTCTGATTTTTCTGCGCGCTTCAATGGGGATCAAAGTGCATTTCTCGTTGTTTACATGGCCATTTTGACGTGCAAGCCGGGTGGTCCTGAAATCTCCCAGATCTTATGTGAGCGAATTTCGAGTCGCTTCTGTCTGGATCCGCTCTGAATCTTCTTGATCTATTTTCTATCGAGCTGTTCCACAGATGGTATATCCTATGGAGTCGCAGCAACTAACAAATTTTGTTTTGTGATGTGATTATATGATCAACAGGACAGCCTAAGATCATACACTGATCTGCAGCGGATTCCCAGTTGGTTTCTAAGCAGAGTTCCTCGAGCGCTTCTCACACTCAGAGTATGAATATGGGGAAGGAAAGTGCGGGATTTCGACGTAGACCCCGGAGCAGGTCTGCGCAGTCGTGCCAGGTTTCAAAGCCATCCTGCACCTCCACGAGAGTGGGCACTCGCTCTCATGCAGTCTTTTCGCCGCACCTTCAATGTGGAGAACAATGCTCTCCGATCCAACCACCCTTACGCTCTCCGCCCCGGTCAGACAACGCAAACTCTCCTCTTCTTCGAGTTCCGTTCGTACGGGCCGCCGACGTCAGACTTCGGGCGACCCGGCGACGTCTACATCGATCTCTCCCCGAGTCGGCATGCGTTGTACTGGCGCGAGCGGAATGTTAATCAAGGGATGGGTGCCGGGGACTGGTGCTGCTGGAGCGGGATTACCTGTGACCCGCAGATGCAGGCGCGTCATCCGTGGGTGCGCAGGAGCGGCGGCGTCTTCCTCTCGGTCGATCTCGACGGTGTTCATTGGGCTTCGATCGAGGAGATTTCCGCGAGTCGGATGCGAATGGGATTGCCGCTCGCCCCGCGGGGAGGCCTGGACCCCCGTTCAATGACTGCGGAGGTGCTGGGAAGGATGCTGACACAAGAGCAGCAGCGGAGATCAACAGTCTCCCCGACACTCACAAGCCCGCACGTGCTTTCTCCCCTTTTGCATCACCGCGCGGGGACACCAGCGCCACTCTCGGCTGTCGCCAACTCCGGACCCTCAGTCAGCGCACACGACAAAAAGCGGCGCCGAGCGAGTATGGGCGTCCCACCGTCGTCAATGAATTCGAGTGCTAGTTCGACGGCCTCATTCGGAGGACCTCTCGTTCATTCTCCTTCTTCTTCGACCGCTCTACTCAGCCAACCACACCCTTTCTATGGCCTGCCCCGCGGCATGCCTGAGGCACCTCCCGTTCTCTCGCCGGATAATCCGATCATCTATGCAGGTGCGCGTGTGCTTCAGCTATTCGACATTCGACTGGCTTCCCCGGCGCTCAATCGGTACCGCAGACTTGCCGCAATCAGAACGTGTCCGAGCAGCTCATTTGGGTCGGTGGTTCTTGATATTGAATCAATGAAACACCAAATGACAACGATGATCAGCGCTCGACCGCATGCGTTTTGCGCAGGACGCGGAGATGAATGCTAAACACGGTAAGAGAATACTTCGTGATCTTTTCACGTTAGAAACCGAGCCACATCCGATAGCTCTGAAAGAGAAGAATGGGGAGCTGGCACAGGGTGCGTCTGCCGATGTCGAATAGCGAGTTTCGTGGATGGTTCTCACCTCGATTCGATTAAAATGCAGCTCGTCAACGAGAGAAAGACATAATCAGCAGTACGCAGTGGAAACCCAATCTAATCTCTGCAGATGCTTATCCCCCCATAGTGTCGTATCACTATCAAAAACGAGAACGCGAGCTCGTCGCGGGTGGGTCTTCCGATGTTGGAACCTCACATCATCTCAGCCGTTACAGCTCTCGCCGCCGCCGAACAAAGATCCTCGGCCGGCCTCGAGGAACTGAGAAGCTGTCCGTCCTCATCTTTACCCACCGTCGTTCCGTTCTCTGACACATGATGCATAGCGGCCCAGTCAATGAAACAGCAAGCCGATGCGGCCCGCGAACAAACGAACCATGCTGGTGAGGCCTGTCATAAGACAGAGATAAAATTTCTTGTGGACTGATGTCATCAAGTTCTGCAAGTACAACAGTCCCAAGCAGGTCTGTGATTATCCTCTTTCCATTTTGGTGCAATTTCCGAACGATCATTTGACGAGTTTGCTTGATCAGAACTCGAAGCCGCGCAAAGAGAGCTGCGCGAACTTCAGCGAAGTGAGTACCCAACCTGGGAAGCGCTTGGGAAGCCCTACTGATGGCAATCAGGACCATTTGAAGAATAGCTGGAACCCAGTTGAAGATACTGTTTCGCCCCATTGACATTGTATTTGTAAAACAGAGCCAGAATTCCTTGTATATGACTCTCAGACTCGTATTGTAGGACACTTAGTCATTCTTTCCATTGCTATTTTATACGACCGCGTGAAATCCCATCAGGACTTGTATCAGTGCTGAGTCGCGACCCCTGACATGCCAGTAGTCAGCTCGACGGATAAGATGGGCATCCAGAAAGCAGGTATTCCCAACTTGAAACACTGCTCTAGAGCACTGCTGAGCCCCACCCAAAAGTCCACCAGATTGAGCACTTGAGGTAGAAGGTGTCAGCTACGCCTTGGACACCCTGATTGTGCCTTATTAGTGGTTTGGGTCAATGTGAGGGCCCATGTCGAGGTTTGTGGGCACCCCAGATGCCACCGCCATCATTACATAACAGATCCCGTGGGTACCTACTGGGTACCCATCACCTAAGGAACATCCGCTGCAGAGGGTACCCCCCCTCCTAGGGGGGTAAAATTGACCCATTTTGACCCCCTAATAGGGGGGTACCCTCCGCACTTTTGGCCATCCTCCGCACCAAAGCTCCGCAAATGGGTGCCAAGCATCCACATCCTGCCCTATAAGCAGCTGCAGATCCCTCTGCAACTTGCCCTAAACAAGCTGCGGATCCATCTGCACCCAGCTGTCCCCGTGATTACTGTGATGCCATCATACAGGTTGTCTGCGGTCTGTATCATGTGACTCTGATCCAGTGAGGAGCCCTCCACATTTCTTGTTCTTCCATTATTTCATTTATAGCCTCTATGCATTGCTCCACTGTAGACTTGAACCTTCTGTAGCAGATGTATGTGCTTCCAAATGATCCCAGCTCCTTCAAGCTCCTCTGTATGCAGCAAACAATGAATGGCAGTTGAACCAATTCAGTGCTTGGGCTGTGCGGATGCTCTGCATTGCAGTGTGGATGCCTCTGCTGCATGCTGTCCTGGGCCAGTTTTGGGCAGGCCCTACTGAGCATGGGCTCTGTGGACTGTTCAACTTGCACAGCATTGCCTGCCATGGTCAGTACATTTATCCAGACTCCTCCTGTGTCCAAAGCAGCTTGAAAGCATGCAGTGTGGATGCCTCTGCTGCATGCTGTTCTGGGCCAGATTGGGGAAGGCCCTGCTTAGCATAAGTCCTTTGGACTGTTCAACTCATACAATATTGCCTGCTATCATCAGTACATACAGCCAGGCTCCTCCTGCATGTGCAGCAGCTAAAAAGTGTGCAATACAGAGGCATCTGCCACCTTCTTTCCAGAATCAGATCAGAGAATTGGGGCAGGTCCTGTGTGGCGGAAGCGTCTTGAACGAGTTCCGTCACACGGGGAATTGAGTCGTCAATCCAAGAGAGACAGGGATCAGCTCGAAATTGACTGTCCTACTTTTTCCTACCTCTAACTTCTTATACTACAATCGGTTCCATCTACAAACAAATACAACTGCACACATGGTACTGAGTAAGCGTTGTATAGTAATCAGATTTAATAGAACATTTCCGTCACACATGCCCTCCAGCTCGGCGCATGCGACGAGCTCACATCATTGCCTCATCACCCCCCTCCCCCGCCGCTCCCTTTGCGGCCAAACGGTTCGCTTTTGCTTCTTCTATGCGCTGACGACGCTTGACAACCATGGCTCCGCCGTTCACCCCAGTAGCGTAGTCTTTGGTCGAGTTGGGAGTGTTTTTCTCTGCAAGGCGGCGCTCCCTGGCCTTGCAAATCGCACGGTCGCGTCCGATGACAGCCTCGCGGCCTTCTTTGTACTCCGTGATAGGGATAGTGATCATTCCGGGGGCTACTCGGCCAGTGATATAATTGTCGGAACACAAGCCGTCGTGGACAGTGGGGACGTATCCTTCAGCAAATACAATTTCCCTCTTCTCCCCCACCGCGGCAAACGACCAGCTTTTTTGGTCGCAGAGGTTGCACAACGCCCCCAGCTCCAAGATCCCGACGGGTCCTCGACCGTAAATGGTACCGTCAAAGTCCGGGTTGTTGACCGCCTCGTTCCAAAGTAAGCATTGCTTGAACTGATGGGCAGTGAGAACGATGTTGCCCTTGTTCAGGTGAATGACAAGGAAACTGGGGGTAATCCATCTGAGCGTGCCCTCGTGCTTGGAGTTGAAATCAAGGTGAGCCGCGGTGAGAGGTTCGTGGCTGCGGTCCGTCCATTAACCACATTCCCAGCGTACGCGTTCGGGGCAGACATGAGCGTTGCGCTAGCTGAGGGCAGGGGGCAAGGTGAGTTTCGTCCACCCGCCCTCCTTTCACCTGTATTTTTCTCGATCATGGTCGCCCCTGACTCAGCAAGAGACACACTACCGGCCTGCAACTTGATCGGCGGACTCTCCCTGGTGCCTTTCAGCAGCTGAGAGAAATCGGAGATGCCCAATGTGTCAAAGTAATCCTGCAACACGTTCAACTTGCTGACTTGTTGATAGGGCATCCACGTAAGATCCCCCGACTTCCACTTTACCTCAAACAGCGCCCTTCGGCGGCTCCCCGCATGCCCGACTACTCGCTCCACCGCCCACTCGGAGTCAGTGGCCGCATCCGCGATGTTCAGCTGGGTCTCCAGGTGGCCTGGGAATCTTCGATCGTCATTAGGCACATGTATCCGGAGCAGGGACACGTGGAATACATTATGAACGCCCCTCTGAACCAAGTTAGGAGGCAGGTCCACACGGAATGAGGAGTTTCCAAAGTCCTTTGAGATCCGGTAAGGGCCTATGAATTTAGGGAGCAACTTCCGGGCTAACCCCTTTTTGAAATGGATGTTTTCGTACTCAGATACACCAGGTCATTTTGTTGAAACGGTGCCGGGATTCTCTTATGATTAGCAGCTTGCGTCTGTTTGACCCTGGCTGCCAGGATTGCGTTGTGGGCCGCCATTATTGCCAGACGCCGCTGCCCAAGGAACGTCGCAATCCCCAGGAACTCTCTGGTCCTTTCGGAATTCCACAAAAGGGATCGAGGCATCAAGCCATTATTCAGGAGAAAGGGGAGTACCCCGTTGTCTCGGATCGTGCCATGTTCATGGCGAACTCGACGGCTGGTAATCTGCTCACCCAGTCCTTTTGTTTGTCGCTCACGCACTGGCGTAGAAGCTGCGTCACTGTTCGGTTTGCACGCTTGGTAGCCCCATCCGTTTCCGGGTGATAGACGCTGGACATCTTCAGGTCCGTTCCAATCAGCTCGTTCAGCCGTTGCCAAAACGTGCTGGTAAACAATACATCCCGATTGCTTACTATAGCGTTAGGCAGTCTGTGGTGTTTGTACACCTGTTCAAACATAAGCTCGGCAAATTGCCTGGCTGTATAGTTCATCCGACACGGCACCAGGTGGACCATTCCCGTAAGATGGCACACAATCACAGCAATCAAATTGAAGACGCTGTCGCGATTCTTCGAATTGGGTAGTGGTCCAACGAAGTCGACCCCAATTGATTCCCAAGGTCGGTGAGGAGTTGAGAGCGGGTTGAGCAGTCCATAAGGTGCGTGGTTCCTTGGCTTGCTGTGTTTGCACACTGAACACGTTTCGCAGTAGACTTTTACGTCGTTGACCAGTGTCTTCCACCATTCATGTTCGCGTAGGTAGTCCACAGTCTTGCGTGCGCCCAAGTGAGCTAGCACCGAATGTGCTTCGGATATCACTATTTCTCGTATGGATCGGCCGTTATACTCAAGGTACGGGATGCAGAGCACCACATGTTCTCTATCCTTCATGTAGATCAGGCCCTCTTTTAATTCAAAGTTCTTGTACTCCTTTGGTCGCTCGACGATGGCCTTGAAAAACTTATCCTCATGAAAACGATCACAAATGAATCCCACTAGGTCTAGTCCATTGTTACCTTGACCTATCACTGGGATCAACAATGGGTCTGCGGTGTTGTCCCAATAATTAAGTATGGATCCATCAACGGGAGCAGATTGTTCGGATCCATCAACGGAAGCAAATTGGCTGATGTGCGGCTGTGTCCCGCCCTCCCGCTCCTTGTTTGTTGCCTGTTGTTTGCCTTGATTCTCTTGTGGACTCCCGCCCTCCTTCTCGCCCTCCGGGGCGAGAATCTCATTGCTCAATAGCCTGGGCGCTGCCAACTTGCCCACTGTGGGTCCCCGTGCCCTGTCCCGCAAGTTCTTTGCAGCCGCAGCTGCCACCCACGTCGTCAACCTCAACACTCTGTCTGACGAGGCTGCCATAGCTTCCAGCCCTGAGAGTACGGGCATAGAGACGTTGTGGCTGTCCAGTATGTTGTTGTCCACGATATCGTGGTATGTGTATTCTGATCTAGCGCGCACTGTACCCGGTGTCTCATTGGAGTATATGCGAGACAATGCGTCCGCCAGAAGGTTATCCGGCCCCGGCACATAAATTATCTCAAAGTCGAAACACGATATCTTCTCTACCCATCGCGCTTGTCGCCCGGATAGGTTTGGCTGGCTAAGCAGGTGAGTCAGCCCTTTGTGTTCCGTGACTCAGTGGAATCGACACCCTTGCAGGATGTCCCTATGGCGCAGCATTGATTCCACCCCCGCCAGCATCTCTATTTCGTGGACGGGGTAGTTCTGTTGCGCCGAGTTAAGCTTCGCTGAGTAAAAGGCCGCCACTCTCGCTCCTCCAGTCTGGGCCCTGACAGACTACTCTGGACATGCCCGTTGCGCATCCATCCGTGACTAAGAAGATTGGATCTGCCTTGGCTCTGTAGTCTAACGGAACTTGGTGATGGTGTCTCAGGTTCATCACAATTCTCTTAATGTCCTCGAAAGCGCGCTGATGGGTGTAACTCCAACGGAAGGGAACCGTATCTCCAGTGAGGCCGTGGAGCACTCCCATGGGTACTCGCACGTGCGCCAGGTTGTCCGCCAAGTAACCGACTGACCCTAGAAACCCTCGCAGCAGGTCGCGGTTTGTCGGCGTCTTCCAGTTTAGAACAGTGTCCACTTTCTCTGCGTCCATCCGAATGCCATTGTCTGTGATCACGCGGCCCAAGACTTTAAGCTCACGCTTCAAGAATTGAAGCTTGTTCTCTCCCAGGTATAGTTTCTCCCGCTTCAAAATGTCAATTACCATCCTCACATGCTTCTTATGCTCTTCTAGCGATTTGGAATATATAATGATGTCATCGAGATATATGTCCATGAAGCAGCCTATGTAATCGGAGAAAAGGTAGTTCATTAGAGACTGGTACATCGCCGGTGCGTTACAATCTCCCTGCTGCAGGACCAGGCTAACCATGTTTCCGTCCGGCGTGGTCATTGTTGTCCTCTCAACGTGTTCCGGGACCACGCGGATCTGTTCGTAGGCATCCTGGCCATCAATGAGAGATCTATACTCACACCTGGCGACACGCCTCAGTATGCCATCCATATCCGGTAAGGGCAAAGCCATTTTCCTGGTATTGGTGTTTAGCTCACGTAGATCCACCACAACGCGAAGCCGCAGAGGGTTCAATTTCGCCTTAGGTATGAGAAGCATTGGCACCGTATTACCTGCATTTGTGATCTTCCAACGCCCTGTTTTCAGGTAAACCCAGCGTTTTTGATCCCATTGGGGTCTCAGGGCATCTGGGCACCGAGACATCCTCCAGGGCATGACCTTTCCCGGGTCTATAAGCGGAATGGTGTGGTTGATCTTCTGCAGAGGCGGTAACTCGGTCTCCGCAGCCACCTTGCACACGTCCTTTGCATATTGTCTCAATTCTTTGCGCGCGCGCTCCAGGTGGTCTGCCTCTACCTCCATAGCCCCGGTATCCAAACGGGCAGTGGCCACGCCCTCCAACGGCAGTGCATCCGGGCTCCCGATACAAACTCGGGAGGGATTGAATCCGATTGTCACCTGGTGCTGGTACAACCAAGCTGTCCCCAGGATCAAGTCGTAGCCACTGATGTTGGCCACGAAAAAGGTGCGAGGCCCGTCTATATCTTGATACTTCAAGTTGATGCGCATTGTGTGATTTATCTTCGATCGAGACCCCTGCACTGCTAGCTGCAGGGTCAGCGGCTCCGCCAGGTTCTTCAATGGCACGCGCAACTGGTCCGCCACCGTTGTGGACATCAAATCTCCCAGGGACCCTGAGTCCACCAAGGCGCAGAGCGGTTGGCCGTTCACCTGCACCACCACAACTAACGGCTTCGCCACAACTGTCTCCTTCATACGCGGTGAAGAGGCGGTCCTTGACAGCCCGGCCAGCCTGTCGGCTGGGACCTGGGCGCCGTGGCAGGCTAGCGCTGTCGCCTTGGTTGCCTTCCCATAGGTAAGCCACCACCGGTCCTGCGGTATCTTGGTTACAGCCGACGCCGCGTTCTTGCGCAGCATACACTTCTCTCACGACCTTTCTAACCAATTCACTAGGTCTACTTTTGGGTTGAGTAATTGTTCTCGGAATACCCCAACTTCCACCCTGCGATCGTCCTCGTGGCACTCTTCAATGAAGTACATAAAGGGCATGACCTGCCCTTTCCAATCGTTGCTCCAGTACCCGGGCTCTACGCCTCTGTACTTGCAGCACGCAGTGGGGTATTGAGCGGCCATGTCGTCCAGGTAGAAGCCTAGTTGTACTCCCAGTAGGTCTCCCACCGCTACCCAATGAATTGATCTAATCTCTCATTTCGGGATACCCAGTCGCTCACTCAGTTGAGCCACGTACCACGCCGCCAACTCGAAACGGGGATTCAGGAGAAGGTATTTGGGCAGGTTCAGTGACACCCTACTGAGGTTGTCCTCCACAGTGTACTCATCATTGCACCAAGCCTGCCGCACGTGGAACCGTTTCCCCTTCCAGAGTGGTGAGTCTTGGTCGATGTCTTCATCCCCGGGATATGGCTGACTGAGCTCCAGCATGCTTCTGATACCTTCTACCAACAGATCGCCAATCTTGCAAGAGCGGAGCGGCTTCGGACTGGGTGTAATTGTCCCTTCCTTCGCCCACTCTGGTGCGTGCGATGGTGCCTTCCGATTTGAGGCCTCTGCTGACTGATGGTGCTTGTCAGGGCAAGATTCAAGGACACAGCCCATCTCCTGAGCCACATTGTCCCAGACGCCGTCTGACTCCTGGTCAGCCTCCTCTGCCTCGTCTTCCGATTCGCTTTCCTCAATCAAAGCAGGAAGGTCACCTGGAGCATCCTCATGAAATATGTTGCCTTCGGCCAGCCAATTTCCCAGATTTCGCATGTACCAGTCACGTAGATGAAACCTACAGTCTTTCAAAGTGTTTTGTGCTATCAATGCATACTCCGGACCTCCTCTCCGCCGGATGGCTATCATGCCTGCCATACCTTCACGCCCTTCAAAAAGAGACGTGTCCTTGTCATTCGCTTCCTCATTTGGCTGATCGGACTCGTACGTCTGCAGCATGATGAGTGCCATGGCTAAGATCGATTCACCCAACTCACAGAAGTATCTATCAGGCAAGGGCATATCAGGGGCGTCCAGGTGTATCCCCTGGGCCAGATAGCATTTCTGGGCCCAGTGCCATCCCAGTTCGAAGCTTGCATCTTCTAGACAAGCGGACGGTATGAGTTCGTCACCTTCTAAAATGTTCAATGGCGTACCGCTGTCCAGAATACAGTGATAGTTTGTTCCCTGCACTCGGTATACTAGGAAGCGGCCTTCCCTTGGCTCGGAGCCATCGTCACCAGGAAACGGTGCACATCTCTGTAGAACCATGCTGGCAAACCGCGCTGCCAAGTCCCCCACAAGCTCGCTGGGTTCAGATGCTTCTCCCAACGATCTGACAGCTCGGTCAATGGGACCTAAGTCCGGTTTCCACCCGGCGCTCGGGCCTGGTCCTAGAGACAACGCCTCAAGCTCCCCCGTCAAGGCCTCGACTCCTGGGCAGCTCGATTCACAACCAGATGTATTCTCGGATACACAGTCAGTCCCAGCGGCGTCCTCCCAGTCGCTTGAGCCAAGACCTGACGCCTCCGACAGTTGTTCCATAACCTCCACGTTATCCCGGACCTCGAACCAGGAGGCGCTGGCCACGTTCAAGGCCTTGAACACTTCCGTGGTTTTGCCCAGGAAGGCCATGCGCAGGCTCACACCATGTGCCCCAAAGCCCGGTGGTTTGCCTTGTACCTTAGACTTCATTGATGTCAGCTTTGGACAGCTGCGCGCCATATGGCCCAACTCCTCGCAGTTTAAACACACACCCCGGGCCATCAGCTCAGCTCGTTTCTGAGGGGACAACCGTCGCTCCCAGGGTCGGTCAGGCGTGTTCTGGGCCTTGCTAGAGGGGGAGGCCGTGGCAACAGTGGACGGGTATCGAGATGCAGTTCTTGGCCCGCTTTCCCGAGGTGGTTCCACTGTGGCGGCAGCTGATTTGATAACGCCGCCTTGTTTCCGCGGGAAGAACCTTCTCCGCTTCTCTTCTCAATCCTGGCTGGGCTGGCCTGGGCCCACGCCCGTCGCAGCAACGGCCGTTGTCTTCCCCTTTCGACGTTTTTCAAGGCTGAGGAATCGCTCGGCTCTGATAGTCTTCCTGACTACTCGTCTCCACCTCGACTTCTCAGGATCCAGTCCAAATCGGAAGAGCTCCTCCTGGATATCAGCATCGAAGCTGTTCCAGAGGAGTGCCACACGCTCTTGATCTTTCTTCAATCCAATTTCAAGTAATATGCTTTCGAGTTCCAGTACGTGTTTATTTACTGACTTCTCGTTCTGGTGACAACAATTCAGCCTCTTACGCTGCTTCTGGCGGTAGTCCAGCGAGGAACAATACTTCAGTAACCGTCACAGCATCTTCTTAAGCGTCCATTTGTGTTCCTGACCACGAATTCGTCGATTATAGAAGTCTTTGGCGTCGCCGTCCAGAAACGATCCGACTATTGGCACTCAATGGGCCTTTGGTACGTTCCCCAATCCACAGTATCTATTCGACTCATCCACGAACTGGGTATACAGGTCGGCGTTCTCAGATCCATCGTAGCAAGCAGGGGGGTTAGGCTTAACCAACATCTTTCCCCCGGCTTGCTTGCTCGACTTCTTTTTCGTCTTGGATGGCTTCTTCTTGGAGCGAGGGCCGCTAGAGTCAGAGTCAGAGCTCTCTGAATCCGAGCTCGAATCCGAAGACCCGTATTCTGATCCTGATTCACCAGATGAACTATCGGTGGGTCCTCCCTCCGAGTCTGAGTCTCCAGAGGAAGGGTCAGGGCTGGACCCGCTATCATCAGATGGCTGAAGACTTACTCCTCGCAGCACGCTCATTACAAAGCCATTGGGCTTTGTCTTCGAGGGCGACCGCTTTTTAACGATCTTCGGGCAAAGGAGAGTGGATATTTTGGCGCTGGCCCGACGCGAGCTTTCTGCTGGTCGAGATGCCCTCCTCAGGCTCTCTCGTTCTTCCAGCTCAGCCAGCCTTTCCCTCATTCGCTTGAATTCGCGCATGAACAGGCCTTGGTCTCTGGCGACCGCTCCCATCTCCTCGCCCTTCACAGAAGTTGTATCCCTGGGCAAGGGGCACTACCACCCGGTGGGTGTCCTCTCACGACCGAAGTCACCACCGGGCTTTGTCTGTGCTTCCCTTCGTCCTGCTCCTCACAGGCTAATTTGAATGCTTTCCAGGCATCTCTCTGATATTCCAGCTCGCTTTCGGATATGTTTATTCCGCCCCAGTTGCCGGGGTCAGGGCCCTTTCCCTTATCTTGGGAGGGACCGGCCAACGGATTTTCCGGTTCCTGAGTCTCCTCCGACCACTCAGCTTCTCCCAGGTGGTAGGGGTGTCCATCCGAGCCCTCTGGCTCGCTCTCGGGGCTGTCATCGGGCCCCGGTTTGGCGTCCGATTTTTCCGCTGCTCCACCGATCGCTTCTGACTCATCCTTAGACTCAGGAGTAGTGTCAGTCGGGGATTCCGGTCTCAGGGCTGGGGTCCTTTGTTCCAAAGCGCTGGCCAAGCTGGCATATCTGTCAGCTATGAGCCGTAGCACCTCAGGCGACATTGAAGCTGCAGCTTTGTCCACAATGGAGGTTATGTCCTCTATTTGTCCACGCACCTGGTCTACTTCCACGCTGACCCTATCAGCAGGGCTCAATTTACGGCTACTAATCGACTCCCAATGGGTACGAGTCGTTTGTCCGGTTGCCACCGTCCACGGCCCATCCTTGTCCTCCACGGCCTCCACTTGGAGGTGGGTACGGGTGTCCATCCCCTGGGGGAGTTTCTCCGTGTATACACGGGCTGGCTGTTCCCCCTGGTTAGGGGTACTGGCGATGTCTCTGCCAACGGTCATGGACGCGTCAGCGGGCTTAGGAAGGGTGGCCGGTGAAATGCTGAGGGCGTGCTCACAAGTGAATCTACTATGAAAGTAAACCCAAATATAAACACGTTCACACTCCTCGTAATCAGCTTCTCAGTGTGTGAAAGATGCGAGGGCTTCGGGGTGGACAGAGCACCAGTATCACAACTCTCAATAGACGCAGGTCCAATAGTCGCGGAGACGGAGTCGACGACAAGGATATATATATAGCAAACAATGGTATCTCAACCAATATCTTCTATACGAGCACAACCAATACTAATACAATCCACAACCAACGATATAACAAGTCAGAGCTTAATACGAAGTATTAAGATCCCTTGTAGCGACAGCGTCTAGATGGCGACGCAAAGCCCAAATATCAAGTCGACGCACTGCCAACCGATACAACCAATATACTGAGTCGACGCACTGCCAACTAGTAAACCAAAATGTCGAGTCGACGCGCTGCCAACTGACACAACCAAAAGTACTGAGTCGACGCACTGCCAACTAGTAAACCAAAATGCCGCGTCGACGCACTGCCAACTAACAGCCAATATCCAATGTCCAAAAACCCGAGCACAACTTGTCGACGCACTGCCAAGCAAGAAGTGTGGAACCAAAGTTCTCAAGTCGACGCACTGCCAACTGACCAAAACAACCCGAGCACAACTAGTCGACGCACTGCCAAGCTAGAGGTGTGGAACGATCTCAACAAAGCCCTAAGGCGATGACACTAAATGCCGCGACAATACCAGATGCGGCGAATCCGACTTTCTGATATCTCAAAACTCAAAACTCAAATCACAGTAGCTACAAGTGCTCAGGGAGCAACTCGTCGCGACCGGGCAGGGGTAGCAGAACTTCTTAGGGTGGAATCACGCGGCACGCAAATTGTACAAAACAATCTGAAATGAGAGTGATTCACAGTCCCCGGGGGAAAGCTTCCTAATACAAAGAGACGACGTGCTACTTATACTGTCTACGACGCTGCTTAGTAAAGTCCTGTACAACTGCATAGTAGCTACGCTATCTAAGATCGGTTGCCTTTTAGGGTAATTGAAAAGTTGAACGATCGGACAGGTCCTGAGTGATCAGGACCCCGCCCCATTGTCCATATGATACTTTTGATGTGGGTCAACCCACCGTGTCATACTTTTGGAATACGACGTGTTGGATTGGCCAACGGGTATGTCTTGGCAAGTGAGACCAACGTGGGCGCCCCAAGAAGCCGTATGGCCCTAGGCACACCAGTCGTCCCCCACATGGTTCGGTTCACGGATCTAGCCGTGTCGGTTTCTAGTGTGTTTGGGTATGGACGCGACTCGCCGTGACACTTGGAAGTGTCACCGCGACGCGTCCACAATGTCCCGTGATCGAATGGATCCTGACATGTGACAAGTCGTCGTCGTGGCATGATCTGAGGAAACGTCCAACTCAAAACCGGGAGTTGCCGCGACAAGATGGTTTAAGTCTCGTAACGCCAAGTCCTGTCCAGTAGTAGTTCTATTATTGAGAACGTCGCGCATTGCTCAGCCCTTCAGCCCAAGTTCCCATCTGCAGAGAATGACCCTTTTCGAGAAGTCGACGCAACGACAGATCCCTTTTTGGGGAATGGTCGCGGTCCAAGCGTTCGTCACTAATGGCCCTGAGCCTGGTGTAGACCCATAAGACCAGTTCCACAGTAGTGGTCTGACTGCCTTGCTATCGTCGACACTATCCACAGTCGTCGACTGGGCAGTAGACCCTTAAGTCCTACTGAGCGCAACACTGTCAACCGCGACACGATACACCGAATGGTTCAAGAGTAAACTCTGTAAAAAGCGCAAAAATACGCCCTTACAGAGCTGGTGCAGAGCGCGTCTGGTAGCCAGCCTATCACCGGGGCCGGGGAAACGACGCGGGCATAGGTGCGCTCCGGCGTCATGGGGCGCTCCTTTGTTCCAGGAGGCCGCGAAGTAAGCTCCTCGGTGTTCATTGCAACGCCGCGAGAGTTTTGGCGACGGAGGACTCGGTCAGGGAGCGTTTGGGTGGTTTGGGTTGGGTGTTGCATGGTATCAACGGGGGTTGGTTTGTTATGGTTGGTGAGTCTTCGTCAGAGTTGGCGAGCACGGGAGATCAATCCGTAAGGGCCAGAGCAGAGCAAAGATTTGTTTAGCTAGTTCTGTCAAAAATATGTGGCGGAAGCGTCTTGAACGAGTTCCGTCACACGGGGAATTGAGTCGTCAATCCAAGAGAGACAGGGATCAGCTCTAAATTGACTGTCCTACTTTTTCCTACCTCTAACTACTTATACTACAATCGGTTCCATCTACAAACAAATACAACTGCACACATGGTACTGAGTAAGTGTTGTATAGTAATCAGATTTAATAGAACATTTCTGTCACATCCTGCTCAGCATGGGTTATGCAGACTGTTCAACCTGTACACCATTGCCTGCCATGGCCAGTGCATGCACAATGGCCCTTCCTAAATTGTCAGCAGCTGAAAAGTATGCAGTGCAGATGCATCCGCAGCCTGCTTCCCAGGGCATGGATGGTATTTGAACCATCTGCACAAGCATCCACAGCAGCTAAAAACACAGTTGCAGATGCATCTGCACTTTTTTTGAGAGATAAAGCTGCTCAATATGGCCTTGATTGATGTCCTCTGTCTCTGCAGCATGGACCTAAGATGTTTTTTTTGCTACCTGCATAATGCTATGAACGCTAGGAAATTTATAGGTCCTAGGTAGAATTTTATGTTCCTTGCACCATAATTGTTGCTCATACACAGCTTTGATGAGCTCGCTCATCTGTCCCACCAAGGAATCAAAACATATCTGTGACAATCAACCCAAAAACAAAGTCGAAAAGAGAAGTGAATTCAAAGACTGGAGAATACCACCAAGTAGCTACAGTATTTGTACCCAAATCCCGTCTGAGTCATATCTACAATTAATGAGTCATAAGGCTATGTACCGCATGGAGCACGGGTCATGGGTTGTAGTAGAACCTTCCGGAGTGTATGTCGCGCAGCCTCAAATCGATAAAGATAACCCCTGGAACCCCAAGCCCGGTCTGTCTGATGCCGTGATCCGTGATAAGATAAGTCGTGCCAAGATAAGATAAGATCGTTGATGATAAGATGAAAAAGTGGTCGAACTATGACATGCTGCAGGTCAAATATGGGCATTTGCCTCATTGGGCCAATATACCCCAGGGGATAGATGTTAGAGCATTAGATCACTTGTAGGTAAATTCTGTAGTATTAGAAACTCTGTGGAATACTGGCCTGGGTCATCAGTGCTCTCAGTGCCTTCCGCAGGCCTGATATTAAAATTGGCCTGATCAGGGTATCATGGCCCATATAAAAGATATTAGGGCATAAAATCAGTTGGGGATACATCCTATGGTACCAGGAACTGCCCGGAGTCCTGTTCCAGGTCATTGATGCATGCTGCACCTCCTGCAGGTCAAATATGGAAATTTGCCTGATAGGGTCGGTATAGCCCATGGGATGTGTATTGAAGTGAGAAATGACATGGAAGGCCTCTAAGAATATTCTAAAACTCCCTGGAAGACTTCTCCAGTCATCACTGCACCCAGTACCTTCTGCAGACCAAATGTAGAAATTTGCCCAATCAGGGTTGTATAGCCAGTATGATAGGTATTAAAGCATTACATGAGTTGGAGATACATCATATAGTATGAAAAGCTCTGTAGAATTGTGGAATGGGGTATCAGTTCTTCTAGTGCCTGCCACAAGTCAAATATGACAATTTCAGGGGAAGGAACTCAGTAATGGGTGGAACTGAAAGTCACTCTTGTAATGCAGATATTCTTGCTTCAGGAACCCAAAGCAATATTCTATTCCATTACATTGAGCCATGAAGAGATTTTCCGAACACCAATAATGTGAAGATCACACTCTATCTATTTTATTCAGGTGCAGTGGATTTTATATTAGCAGTGTGATAGAAACTCTCAAGGTGAATTACACCCTCTCTTCAATGTTGAAATGAGCTTCTACAGTGCTTGATACTGTTGAGCACTGGGGAGAGCGTCTAGCAGCTCACCTGTGTGAGTGAGAGCTTAGAGTGGGCACTATGCGGGAGTAGTCAAGAGACTTGTATTAAAGGGCAATAGAGCCCTCCTTATATATGATACAGGGGGCCGTTTGTGTCTATTTGGGACGAGTCAATATGACTCTAGATGACACGTGATTGAGTCATAGATGTACATCACGACATCCATCTTGACAGATGATATTTGATCAACACTCCCCCACGCTGAAAACCACGGGATAGTGTTTGAAAGCAAAATCTTCATCGGCCATTCCTTCAGGACGAGTTGAACTCAAGTCCTAGTTGAGATCTGAACTTCTCAGACTTGACGCATCCTAGGTTCTTGCTGAACATATCTACAGGATTCTCACTGCCCGGAATAAAGAACAGTTCAACCTCTTCTTCCTCGACTCGCTCAAGAATGTAGTGATAGCGGATGTCTATGTGTTTCATCCTGCGGTCTCGGTAGGCATTGCTGCCACTGAAGAGTGCACCCTGATTGTCACCGCACATGGGTACTGGGATGGTGAGCTTGAACTGGAGTTCCAAAAGGACGCTCTTCAGCCACATCACCTGACGACTACAATCTGAAATCGCCATGTACTCTGCTTCCCTCGAAGACTGCGCAACAGTGCGCTGAAGTCTAGACTGCCAGCAAATAATCCCATCTGCCAATTTTGTGAAGAAACCAGTGGTAGACCTCCTCTTGATTGGATCAGCAGCCCAGTCTGAATCGCTAAATACAATTAGCCCTCTATCCGTCGCACCATTGAAAATGAGCGAATAATTCCTAGTACCAGCCAAATAGCGGCAGATATACAGCACTTTATGGAGGTGGTCTTGGGACGGATTGGCGGCAAATTGTGACAATTTGGTCACAGCAAATGCAATGTCAGGACGTGTGCCCAGCATGATGAAGAGAAGAGATCCAATTACTGATTGG